TCCAATAGGAAACTATTCTCATTTTAAGAGACCGTTCTCTTCGTATTTCAATTTTGAGTTTTAAATTCATTTTGAATTTTGTGTTTTGAGTGTTCATTTTTAGATTGTTGAAAACGCGTTCTTTTTGTCATTTTGAAAAATTGGTTTCAAAAGTAAAAAATGAAATTTTTGTTTGGTTTTAACTGAAAATAGCCAAAACGACTTTTTTTTGGGGCATTTTTCGTTTCTTTGTAAATTTTAAACTCATTTTTGGAAACTCGTTTATGAAAATAAGTAAGTAAACGTGTTTTCGATATTTTCGAAAACTGAAAAGTCGGCCTAAATACAGCAAAGAGAACAACTTTTGATCCACTGAAAAAAATATTGATCAATTGACCACTTAAAACACACACATTAACCCGATTTTTTTGCTCATAAATCGTGGCCACAACTCTTGCCCTCAATCGTGTTCTACCAGTATGTGAAATAAATTTCATCTTCTCCAAACTAGGGTTTGGCATTCGTCAATAAAAAGTCGACTTACCTTCAAAATATTGTCGAATATTGCTTGAATTCATATCAAAGATGGGCACAACCAACGAGATCGACCTTTTATGATTAAATTTTCTTTTTTTTAAAAAAAAAATGTGGACACGATATCAGCATCAATCGAAAGTGCGTCGATGTCCACCACGTGTTGGACATTGAACACCAATGCTAGGAGAATATTAGTGCATTTTAGATAAATACTTTTCATAAGATTTCATCCGAGAGCATAACTTCATGACATAAACGTCTTTTTATAATTCATATACACGCATTAAAATTTAAACATTCACGCATGTCATTCTATCGATCATTTCTCTTCATAAAAAATTTCCCTACTAGATACACGACCAAGTAATTAAGTTAGTAAAAGGAGGGATAAAGACGAGGTGCAAAGTATCATGCATGTTACTTACAGAAGCTAACGTTTATTATAATATATTTTTATTTCAATTTCTAGCTCGAGTATTAGAGTACTAAAATCAGTTTAAACACTATTGACCTTAGTAGACAATCAATTAAAAAAGAAGGATAAGCCCTCCGAGGCACATCCGAGTTGGCAAAGGATGGGCTTGCAACCTTAGGATAGGAAGTTTGATTCCTGGATTGAGCATCTAAGTGTTGTAATACTCAATTTGG